CATTAAGTTTAACGAGTACCTAGGTTTGCTGCTACAAGGAAACTAATAAAGTGTGTTTTTGAGTAAAATATTGATAGCTTAGTACAAAATAAATAAATTTGCCAAGTTTGATCAAAATATATTCATAAACAAACAAACTACAACATTTGACAATATTCTTCATAAGAATAACATGGGAATTTTAAATTTACAATTTTTTTAATTTTCTCCGATACTAATAATCGAACAAGAATACTTTTATATACTAAATTATTTGTTTTTTTCAGCTCTTTAAAAAGGTCTGAAGAGAAATCGGGAAATTTTGTGTTTTGAGGGTCAAAAGTGAGAAAAACCAATTTTTACCCCATAAAACCCCCCGTAAAGCCCCGTTCCCATGGTCCGATCGTGCTGGTTCGCGAACTCATTCAAGTTTATCCCACTTTACACCTTTAAACCAAATTTCATCAAAATCGGACAAAAATTACTCAAGTTATCGCGTTCACGGACGTATATATATATATATATATATATATATATATATAAGTCTATATATATATACATATATAAAAATTTGAACGAATGGTGTTTTTGGCCTCTGGGGACATCAAAATGAAAAAGTAAATCGGTCCCGGGTCTAGGTCTTACCATGCCACCTACGGTAATAGCTACTTCCCTATAGGGAAATTCGCTAAAAGTGGACCAAAACCATCACCTGTTTTGCCACCTCTTGTGTTGCCACAGTTTCCCTGCCGAGAAGCGCGATAGCCATGGCGGGCCCGTTATGACGTACTGCAAGTATTCAAAAGGCAAGACTTATGAGCCATTGTGCGATAGCTCTTATCATCAATGGCGGCGCGAGTCGGATCTGAACCCGCTTTGATCCAAATCAGCTGCGATACTGTCATAAGGAATGGAAATAGTTGTGGGGTCGCCATAAATAAGGCACTCGGTCCGACACGGATTCTCTTTTACAGAGGCATCTCTGCCAACCAAATACGGCACGACGGCTACCAGCCACCAACTACCAGCTACTGCTTGCTGAAATCGCATTTTCATTTTCCCACAAGAAGGAATATTACACCATTACTCTATACAGTGAAGTGGTTCTTGTGGCAGCGTGTATATAGGTTCACCTTGTGTGTAGAAGGCAGTGAAAAACGTATAATCAATTGCAGATTGAAACGTATCTCGAAACTATAGTGGGTTAAATTACCTTGTTACTGTCAAAACGATCCTTTGTAGTTTGTAAGACTACAGGTGTTTCATGCTTCGAAATGGCAAGAAGAATGTCAAGTAGTCTTCATTGGTTATTCCTCGTAGTGGAGTTCGTCAAAAGTTTAATAATAAACAGATAACAAAACACATAACACACGGAAACACGAAACATTTAGTATTGGTCGACCAGTACTCTCGACAGAAGACTTCATTCTAACATTTGGAACAAAAGACTTAATTTAAATTTGAAAACAAACAAACTAGATGACTTATCGGTCGAAATTCAAAATTATCTGTTGAAAACCAATTACTTTTACAGAACTAGGTGAAACCCGTCGAAATCGATGTCTGCTTTTAAGTGTACCATATTGATGGCGATATCCGCAGCGACTGCAAGTGAAGGTGTTATCCTCTTGTTTTTTGCTTAATGTTTTTCTTTCTTGCTTCTCAACTAAAGTGTCTTTTCCTTTAACTGCATAAACGTTGCAGCATTTCTTTTCAGACATTGTAGATAGCTGAAATTCGACTTCTTCAGAAGTCTTACAGATGTTTATTGTCTTTTCAAGCGTCAAATTTTCTTCATGAAATAGTTTTTCTTTGGAGATGGAGTTCAATCCCATCTTCTCCAAGTACTGTCATAAAAATAGCTATCTGTTTCTCTAATGTTCTCTTCTTCAAATTAACAGCAGTAGTATACCACTGAAATTGTTTCCGCCATAAATTCCACTTCTTTGTCATTTCATTACCACTGGTAACTAACAGTAGCTTTGGTGGTTTTATGTTCATTGGTAAGTCTTGATTATTCATCTCAGCATTATCATAATCAATGTTGTCTGTATTAACCTCTCTGAATGGAGAACAATGTCTTTCTTTATTCTTATTTCCGGTTCTTCGTTTCGGCACCATGTTTCTTGTTTTAAAATAAAACTAAATCTTAAGATGAAGAATTCCATTTAATGAACTAAAAGTTAGTTTGTTTACAAAATCAATATAATAATAATTAACAACCATATGACTTTATAGTCATATGTCATTAACTAAACATGATTTTAGGAAATATAACAAAGACAATAAAACTAATTTCAATTCAATATGTTGTTTAACAATTGAGAAAAACGTGATTTACGAAACCCTTACACTTTGTCTGTTTAGGGGGGCAAAGGGGGGGGATCAGGGGGTAGGTTCGGGGACTTTTGGCTGACAAGGTCTAAATGGTAGTCAATGGGCAAAAATCTGCTTATTAATATTTTTTCCTCCTAAAAACACAGGTTGGCTGGACTGTGTTGTTTAAAATACAATTTAAATATTAACAGCTGTTTCAATACAAATTATCCATATGGCCATAGTTGCATGAAGAGAATTCAGCCAATCTAAATGAAGTTTTACCCTCGTATGCTGAAGTCCCTGCTACTAAAGCAGAACAATTTTTACCCTTGATAGAAAGAACTGGAAATTCCAGTTCTATGTTAAATATGTAGCCAGAATGAAAATTTACGTATGTAGTTTAATTGAACCGCTGACAAATTAAACTGATTCCAATTATCTAATTTATCTCGCATATGACAACTCTTAAGCCACAGACAATGGAGTAACTATTTGACGTTGTTTACTCTATGGTCTGTGCTCAAGTCAAAGTCAGAGTGAAATCTTAACTTAAAACTATAGCACATTTTTGTCACTTTAACTGTCGTAGCAATAATAAATAAGGAAAATCCACAATTTTGACAGCAGTAGAGACTCTCAATTTGACCCTGTGAGTGGCTCAGTCTATGTAGATGTATCTATTTCAGTATTGACAAGCTTTACCATTCATGATATAAACAGTATAGTTCAAAATTGTATCTTTTTCTTCCCTGTTGTCATCTAGTCGGAATATGTCATGGATGTACATGTTCAGTAGTTAAGTGCCAATGTTTCGTAATCCTTCTCATTCACAAAGTCGATTCATTGACTGAATCAATTCCGACTCCCTAGCATTTAAGGAATAAATTACCGATTCTATTATAAATGATTGGTCAGTAGCATTGGTGATAACCATGTCCACAAGTGCTCTCCGGCGCCACCGCAGCGCCACACTCGCCTAGCCCCCAGCAACGCCTGATAACCCCACCATTGTACCTTCCATTTCATTGAGACTTTAATTGAACGATGGTCCAAATTACACCTTCTCCGGCGCAGTTCGCGATAGCCGCAACAGAAGCCGGCGTCATTCCAATAATTATAGTTATTTGCATTTCCTAAGTCGGTACGGTCGGACGTGTTTTTTTCCTAAACCACCCGAGATCCTGTAATGGCTGTCCTGGCCCGGAAAACCTTTAATCAAGCCTAATTATTCCTAGTCCGTGATGGGTAAAATTCATCAAAATCAAGTCGGACGACCGCGGGCCATACCTAATGCCCGCTAAAGAAAATGAATATGCAGCCTCGAGGGGAATAATTTATAGTACAATAGTGAGTCCGGTAGCAGCGCATTCTCTGATAACCACGGGGTAGCTAGGCCCTGGGGACGACCCTTCATTGGTAGGCCTGTGTGCTTATAGGATGCACTTGCGAAGAAGACAGTCAGGTAGAAACTGGGACGAAATTACTGGTAAGCCTGCTTATTAACGTCAACGTGGGATGGTTTACTTGACGAGAATATTTTGAAATGCAATACTCCTAGATTTAAAGGCTCTAATTTGAAATATTGATAGTTTAAATCAGTTAAGTTAAAGATACTGTATTACTCAATCCAAAAACATATTTTATAAAATTATTGTGAATTTTGGATTTTTTTTACTCAGGAAACGCCAGGTGATGCTGATAGTATAAGCTTAAAAATATATTTTAGGGGCGGAAATATGAATGTAGCTTAGAATCAGTTTAATAACTTACTGTGTTACTGGCTGATATTGAAAATCCATTAACCTTCTAATGGAGAGCAGAAGCTATCGGGACCGAAGTGAAGATGCCAACCTTAACCCACACGGTCTAGTCGTATGAGTGTGGTATACCATCAGTACAGTAAGGACGTACGCTAGGACTAGGGACTATCCTACCTCTGCTAAACCCTGAATATCAGCCCGCGGATACACTAACTAAATAGAAGAATGCACTAGAATTCTAGAAGGACTCGGAAACAGGATCAAAATTGTATATAATTGTAAATAGAAAACCTGAAAAAATGTTAGAAACTCCAGTCTTTCATTTAAAGCCACCCTTAAACCTTCTTAACAAATTATAGGGCTCTGGAGGAAACTGTCTCACAAAATATTTGATTGCATTATTACAAAATCAAAAATCTGTTTAAACCAGGCGCCCAAAATAGGGCTTTCTGAAGACATTATTTTGGCCCCTAAGAAATCGGTAAGCTTTATCCACGCTGGATACTGAAAGTAGATTTATCATCTTTTAGTTGAATAAACAGTCTGTTTATATGTGATTTTGATGTCCGGCAACGGTGAAATATATTTGTTCTTTATCCTTGTTTTTTGTTCTGGGTATTAATCGTAATACAGTAACTACAAATGTTGCTTTACTCTTTAAGCTGTTTGAGTTACACTAGAGGACAGGCTAAATAAATCATTCTAATTCATCGTAATAATTTTTAAGTTGGTAAAATGCAACTTTTATTCAGTGGGTCAAGGGATGCTATATAAATAAAATGTGAGATTAGTATGTTTATTCTATTCTTTTTTTTATCATAACAAAATTTTTGTATTGACCCTTCACTAATATTTTCATGTTTGTTTATTAAACAAGCATTGAGGTAATTTATTTATTTATTGACAGCTGACTTGATTCAAGGCCTCGTTGTAGTTGTTTATTTATGTTAAACAAAAACCAACAAATGGTTTGAAATTATGAAATGTTTCATTACTTTGATAATAATCACAAATTTATCGTTTGAAGTAGCATGTTTAAACACAGACACGCAGAATGTGAAGACTTCTTTGTTCACGGAGTTGGACATCAGGCGATCCTGTTGGAGCCACGACTCAATAAACCTCCTCCGTGCAAGGATGATCATGCAAGACCTGATACCCAACAAGGTGCCTAAGGACCTTCCCTACCTAGTGGAGTACATCAGAAGCACGGAGGACGCCGTAGTGAAGCATTCCCCAGAAGGAAAGGTTCGCAGGATCATGATGTTAGCGCTCACAGATGTTCTAGGAGGGTATTTGCAATCGGTAGTGATTCCGATAGCAAAGGAGGCGTACTACGCCGGCAACATAGACTACCCTACTATGTCACGTCTGGATGAGATGCTCCAAGAAATGAAAGCCAGGCTTAGAACCGACGGAGGAAGATGGTCGAGACCATTGGACATGTCGAAGTTCGCGACAAAAGTGACTCAACTACATCTAGCAAACCTAAACCCAGACTTGGCGTGTAAAGCTCTTGTGGTCGTCCCTGCCGACCAGTGCGCCCCGGGAAGACCCAGGATATCCATCCCTTACCTGGACTACGACGTGAAACCAGGGGCGATAGCTCTTCCGCTGAGGGCTCGTAACCTGTACAGTCTGAAAACTCCTGCGTCCAGCCACATTATAGTGAGGTTCTACATACTCGCCAGAGAGTGTCTATCGCAAATGAAACCCTCGGAGACTGACATATTCAACAGCCACTTTATCCTGTGGCTGACGGCGAGAGTTGTACCCCACCTTTACGAAGAGTCTTGGTACCCCGGGTTTGGTGGCGTGATGAGGATATTAGAAACCGTGAACGAAACGTCGGTCTTGCAGTACAACCAGATGCCGATGACGTATAACAACGACTCGTACTTGGAAGGGCAGATACAAAATCCCAAATCAGTTGGAATGTTTTACTACTTGAAAAACCTTTTGAGATTCCATCCGTACTTTGTAGCATTGATAGTATCACTTCTTCTACTACTCCTTCTCGCCTGTTGTTGCTTCATCGTGTGTCTCGCGAGATGCAGAAAAGGTGGAGGTCTCGGAGGGAAAAGTTCCTCTGGTATCTTGAACGCCGTTTTATCAATATATTGTGGTGTAAAAGACAAAAATGATGAGAACAAAAACCCGACTAGATCTTCAGAAGGTTCTTATAACTACTTCCACCCTTATCCACAACCCGGACACAAATCCATACCGTACACAAGTACGGCGAGTTCTCTGGCTTCGTCATCAGATGATGAAGAATCGGATTCCTCACGTTGATTAATGGTTGATATGTTTAACAATATTTGAGTGAAATGTAGGTTACGAACGAGTTTTGAGCACATTTAAACCTTACAGAATATAACAACGTAACAAAAAACAGGTTTAATGAAAGAATTAAAATAATATACCTCATGTATAGTTGGGTTTATTGTAAAATTTTAAAAATTAGTGATTTTTTAGACTCTCCCGAGACTTGAATTTCTATGGGTTTCTACTTTTCTATAAGATGTCATCTTAAAAATCTTTATCTGCCGAGGATTATCGTATATTTTAGTACAGTAGTTAAGCCTATGCTTAAAAAAACATGCTCCCTTTATCTTATGAACATAATAATTGTTTTTTTTTTTACAAATCAAGTTTTTGGTGGACAAACAAATAGCACAGGGCTCTATGGGTTCACAAAACATCTCCTATCCGACTTTGGAGGGAGAAGGCCGTGAAGGGTTTGGATTCTTATAATTTCTTAAAAACCTTGTAATATTAAAATATAAGTTAACAAGTATGATCAAATTTGTTCATAAAGACAAACATATCGCATTATCCTTCACATATTGATTGCCGAAAGATATTACATTCGGAAATTAATTATCACAATGTAATACGTGAAATTAGGCGTAAGAAGACATTGTACATGTAGACATTGCATATCTACATAATCATGGAGCAAATTTTGTGTATTTTGGGCACAGAACTAAAAGAGCAACTTATTAACGTATGTACGTTTTGAAATAACAATTTAATACACCCTACAACTATGATTTCTCTGTTTCTACAGGTTTTCTGCGGCCAGAGTATTTTCATCATATAATTGGTTACTTTAATGATATATCTAAATAATAAAACTCACTCGTGGATTGAAATAATTAGTAAGGAAATATTTTTCATCTATCGTGACATTTGCTAACCTATGGCAAATTTCCGGGAGTAGCTATTACCGCAGGTGGCACGGTAAGACATAGACCTGGAACCAATAATGTACCTATTTTTCATTTTGATGTCTCTACAGGCCAAAAGCACCATTTGTTCAAATTATTGTTCATGTAAAATAATATTTCTGAAAGCTTGAGTAATTTTTGCCCGATTTTCGGATTTTGATGAAATTTTTCTTCAAGATAAAGAGCATGATAAACTTCAGTGAGTTTCCGAACCAGCATGATAGGATCTTAGGATTATGGGGTTTTTGGGGTAAAAATTTGTTTGTCTCATTTGTGACCCTCAAAACATAACATTTCAATTTAAATTTATAAACCATTTTATAGAGCTTAAAAAAGTGATTTAGTACCTATATTAAAATGATTTTACGGTTATTGGTTGCGGAGAAAAATCAAAATATTGTAAATTTAAAATTACCATGTTATTTTTATGGAGAATAAGTAAACAATTGTAGTTTGCTTGTTTATGGATATATTTTTATCAAAGATGGCAAATTTATTTGTAGTGTACTAAGTTCTTAATATTCTACGAAAAAATACTTTATTGTCCGTTCCTGTAGCAGCAAACCTAGGTAATTGTTAAACATAATGTTATAAATGGATTTAATGGAAAATCCAATCAGGCAAATGGAGATTCGCTTCTGCAGGTTCTGGGGCGGGGATATTTGGTTTAGTCATAACAAGTTTTAAAAATATTCAAAGCAAATAGCAAACAATTGATTTAAATTTGTAAATCATATCTTAGCGAAACGTAAAAATAATTGGTAGATTATTTCATTTTCTCTCCGTAATCAACGTCCGTTAAATTTCCACAGATTCCAAAATTAGTTTATAAGCTCAAAATTAAAAGTATTCTACCCCTGGTGGGACTCGAACCCACAATCCCCGGTTTAGGAGACCGATGCCTTATCCATTAGGCCACAGGGGCTTTTAATATAAAAGTAATAAAATATCCTAAAACGATTATTTTACTTTATAGCACTGGCTAAGTTAATACTGTATAACTTGATAAGTATTTTAAATTTGTTGTATATACTACCTAATTAAAAAACATTTTTGTTTGCTTAGAATATGTTGTATGGTTGTAACATAAACTAACCAACAGAAGTAGACTTCTCATCCCATTAATTTTGATACTCGTTTTTTGTGTCTAGTTCATGTCCGGTGACACTGATCACTAGTGTCGACGATTTCGCTTCTTTCTAAGTTAATTTCATGATTCGTTTTCTACTGTTTGGTTGTATAAATAGGGGACGAGTTATTGTTTATGATTGGATGGTTAATGGTTGTACAGTATTTGGTTAAACGAGTACCAGTAAATGAGTTAACTTTGTACCAAATATGCAAAGTTTGTGTGTTAGCTCTATTGTGGGATAAAGACTAACTACTATGTTTAACAAATTTGCTTATTGTTCTATTTTTTGTTGAACAGAATGTAAATTATATAAAATTTAAAAAAAATACAGTGCACCGGACAGAACTAACGATAAAATTGACTTCAGCTGTTCCATAATTTTTTTTTTTTTTTATCAGAATTTATTTTACAATCTGTTCAAACTTCAAATATGAGAACAATAAGTAAAACATATATCAAACAATGTCAGGAAGCAAGCACCTGTTCATCAACAAGTCTTGCCAAACATTTGATCAGTCATTTAAACATTTACAGAAATCTGTAGCTTAAGTCCAGCACATGCACAACACTTTTTAACCTGGTAATGCACTGACTATTGTCCAGCAGATTAACAGCAAGACTGTTCGGATGATATTCTAATTTTTCTTGATAATTTTTGCTAAGGTCTGTAATTTCTTCTTTCACTGATTTAATTTTGAAGTCATTCCTAATTGTAGTGTTGGATACGAACCAGGGTGCGCCAATAATTCTTCTCAGTGCCTTAGCCTGAAATCGTTCAAGTATTTCGATGTTGGATTTGCTCGAGGTCCCCCAAAGTTGAATTCCGTATGTCCAAATTGGTTTGATCATAACTTTATACAGTAAAATTTTGTTAGCCAGTGATAATTTTGAATTCGTACCTAGTAGCCAATTGAGTTTACGAAGTTTTAATTCCATTTGCTGTCTCTTGCACCAGATATGAGATTTCCAATTTAATTTTTTGTCAAGAGTTAGACCTAAATATTTTACACTGTCTGCCTCCGTTAAGGCTACATTATTAATGGTTACAGGAGGATTGTACCCTGTTCTCAGAGTAAAAACAATATGTTTGGACTTGTTTTCGTTGACTTTTATCCTGTTCCATAATGATGAGAAATCTATTGAGTACAGTATCTTATTTGTTTTATTATAGACTAACCAGCATAAGTTAGTTTGCATAGGAGTTTGTTTTATCTATATAGTTATGCAATGAATATATATTGTTCAACAAATTTTTATGAAAGGTTCTACTTATTAATTCAAAATTACCCCTAATTAATTGTCGAGCTTATATGCCTAGTATTTGAAAAAGATAATCTATAAGGGTGGATTGAGGTATGAACCCATTCATCAGTTTGATCTGGGGTCTCAATTGTCGTGCTACAATATTTATTTCTTACTGTTTAGCACCTTTATCTTCCTTTTAAAGGTTTCTTTTAGCGAATTTCCCATATAGGGAATAAGCTATTACCGTAGTACTCATGGTAAGACCTGGACGCGGGACCGATTTTTTTTTTCGTTTTGAGGTCCCTAGAGGCCAAAAACACCATCCGTTCAAATTCATATATATATATTTATATATTTATATATTTATATATATATATATGTGTGTGTGTCCGTTAGCACGATAACTCGAGCAAAAATGATCCGATTTTGATGAAATTTGGTACAAACGTGTAAACCTACGTTTATTCGAAAGAGTTCGCGATCCAGCATGATCGGACCATGGGAACGGGGGTTTACGGGGGGTTTTATGGGGTAAAAATAGGTTTTTCCCATTTTTGACCCAAAAAACATATAATTTAGCAATTTCTTTCCAAACCATTTTGTAGAGCTTAAAAAAACAAATAATTTAGTATATTGAAGCGTTATTATGCGCCTAATGGTTACGGAGAAAATTAAAAAAAATTGTAAATTTAAAATTCCCATGTTATTCTTATGGAGAATAAGTAAACTGTTGTAGTTTGCTTGTTTATGAACATATTTTGATCAAATTTGGAAAATGTTTTTATTTCTTACTAACTATTAACATCTTAAAAAAAAAACAGTTTTACCCTCCCTGACGCAGCAAACCTAAGTACTTGTTAAACTAATTCTATTTAAATAGGGAATAAATGTTATATTTTTAAGTAGACATTTCAGTGTAAATCCAATCAGTCAAATGGAAATTCGCTTAGTCTGCAGGTTTGCTGCGGCGGGGGTATTTTTATTCTTACACATTAGACAAAATTACGTTAAAAAACTTGGAACAATCCCTCATGAGGTTTTCTCTGGATAAGGTAATTGTCAGGATTGGTTATCAATTCGATGATTGAAGTGTATAGTAACGAGTTATTGGGAAATCCAAGAGGAAATCTCGTTAATACCTGTGTTATATATATATAAAAGGCAAAGCCCTCACTGACTGACTGACTGACTGACTCACTCACTCATCACAAATTCTCCCACTTCCCATTGACCTAGGAGGCTGAATTTCGGTACACCGATTCTTTGGGCATTAAATAGGAAAACTAAGTAGTTTTTATTCTGATCGGGCTTCCTGGCTCCGCTCCAGCACAGAAAACGTACTACGTTTTCTGTGGCCCCAGTGGCTCTGGAGTTTCCCATGTTAACCTTATGATTTTTCATATTTAAAAGGAATTAATGCATCTTAACAGCTGTTTCAATTAAACAAGTTAGTTCTGTTCTATGATGTTCAATATCATTAAAGTTACAAGGATTACCAACAGGGTGCAGCACTATTATTTATTTATTTATTTATTTTGTTATGACAACAGCTAATTTGCAACCAAAAAGTGAGTGAGCGTAGCGAACGAACTTCAACCTGGAGGTGAATTAGCTTAGCGAACGAGCTAACATGAAGGCAAGTGAGCCCAGCGAACTAGCTCCAACCTAAAGGTGAGTGAGCGTAGCGAACGAACTTCAACCAGGACTGATTGAGCCATGCGAATACTTATGAAGTTAAACGGGGCAAAGCCCGTGGGTACAGCTAGTATATATATATTTGTTTGGCAGTGATAAACTCAGACACCGCTGAACCGATTGCCACGAAACTTGGTACATACGTGTAGACTTTCATGGAATAGGTTTATACACCATCAATTTCGTGATCCGTCCAATCGGCTCCGCCCCAGTGGCTCTGGAGTTTCCCCATGTTAACCTTATGAGTACTTATATTTAAATGGAATTAAAGAATCTTAACAGCTGGTTCAACTAAACAATTTGATTCTGTGATGTTCAATAGCATTAAAAAGTTAATAGGTTTACAAACAGGGTGCAGCACTATTATTTTTTTTTAATTTGTGACAACAGCTAATTTGCAATTAAAAGGTGAGTGAGCGTAGCGAACGAACTTCAACCTGGAGGCGAGTTAGAGTTGTGAATGATCTAAACCTGAATGCAAGTTAGCGCAGCGAACGAGCTCCAACCTAAAGGTAAAAGCGTAGCAAACTAACTTCAACCAGGACGTGATTGAGCGATACGAACGAGCTCATCTTGAAAAAGAAACGAGAGTTTGACATAAAACACATTAGGACAGGACGACGTTTCTCGGGCCAGCTAGTATATACAGTGTGTAAATTAAGTATGGAAACAAATCTGTATTTTTAAAACCGAAATAGATAG